AAAGGATATTTGAATTGAGAAAACATCTGGAAAAGACATATCAGAAAGACACTGGAAAGAATAGGTTCATCAGAATGAGGGACAGTCGGGATGGAAGTGGATGGAAGTGGTACTTGGACTTGCTGAAGAGCCCAGGATGCAAAATTCACCTGAGATCTTTAGCAAAAATGTGTTACCAAATCAGCTAGCAGTTCATTCCAGTGACCCGGGGGGGACCTAACTCTTGTTTGCCTTCAAACACAGACCAACCAACAAGCTGAGCCCAATCATTCATTATACTTGAGGCTGGATGTAATTATTTGGAAATCTTTCTAGTGATTCAATTTCATTAAAATTACAACATGGAAATGTGACATTATGAAGGACTGAGAACAACTACAGAAATATAGGGAAGCTCTGTCATGAGCAATTCGCATCTGAGTCACTTTCAATTCTTTTACCCTAATCATTGGCTCTCTCAGTTCACTGCTGACATGAACTAAACTTTTATCTCATAACAACAATGAAAGAGAGGAAGACAACAGGAAAGAAGTGCATCAAAGTGCTGGCAGGACATTTTTACATAAAGAATGTGTACTGTCCTCCCCCAATACCTGATGAAGCAAACACAAAAAATTCAAATTTAAAAAGCAAAAACTTCACTAGCATTAACCAAATAAGAAAAAGGAAACAAACTTACTCCAAAAATTCTGAAGAGTCAGCCAAGGAAAGAAATAGATCTGTCTGCTTGTGCTCCCTAAAAGTTGTAATCAGGAAAGGAGGAGTGTCACCCAGAGAATTCTCACAAATACCCTCCACTTTTGAGAAGCCAACAGAGGAAGTGGGTGAGTGGTCCTGAAAAAGTTAAGGAGTAGTCCACACATACCACAGGTGCTCAGGAGTGGCAGGGTGGGCTATCAGCACTGGCCACTGGGGGGGCACTGGGTTCCTGGGCCACCTCAGGAACTCAGTCTGGGAGAAAACATAATCCAAGAAGGGCTTCTCCGTGGCTGTCTCGAGCTACTGATGCTTCGATAAAAATAAGAACCCAATAAAATGAGTTCAAAGACAACATAATAAATCAACAGAATAAAGTGAAGAGATTGCAGAGCTAAGGAAACAGATTTAGAACCAAATGACACCAATACAGCACTAAGAAATAAATCAGAGCAGGAAAGAACAAAACAGACATGACTAAAAATTAAATAAGGGACAGAATAGAGGTGTGAGATTATTTCAGTGGATGCAAGAAAAAATGGAAAAAAAATCATCTCAGACTCTCAAAAGAAATGTGATAGATACAGAAGGCAAAGGTAATGAATCAAAGAATTAGCTTCCTGAAACAGAAAACCCAGTAAGTGTAACAGAAAATATTCATAAACACAAATCAAAAATATTTCCCTGAATTGAAGGAAGAAGTAAATCTGATCTCAATCTTCTCCAAAGCCATGTTCAAAATCAGAAGGGGATGGAACAGAATTGTCTCAAAAGATCTGAGGGGATGAGTGTAGCTCAAAAGCATACCCAGTCATGGTCTTTTTCAAGTATAAGGGCAATGGGCAGAAATTCTCAAGCATGACTGAGTTAAAAAATATCACAGCTTCCAGCCCTTGCAATAAAAACCACTCGACGGGAAGTTCTGCTTGCGAGTAGAAAAGCCTAGTGGTTAGCACTGAACCCTCTGAAATGCAGAACCCATACTGTCGCTGAAGGAATCATGGGTGTAAAACGGAAAATGCTACATAAAACAAGAAAATAAAACAAGAAAAATTGGGAGTGTGGAGGGAAGACAGGTCTGAGATAAATGAAAATAAATAAATTGGTTTGTGTTCCCAATTCTTGGCACAGGGCTCCTAAAACCTTTGGAAGCAATGGGGGGTGGCAGGGTGGGGAAGTGGGGGGGCATCTGTAATATTTTCAACAGTAAAGATAAATTTAAAAAAATAAAATAAAACCCTTGGAAATTCCTAAGTGATAAGAGCACTGGGAGCATGTTCTGTTCTAATGAGGTGACTCTGGGTGGCCTCCTGGATGGCTCTCGATGGGGTCTGGTCACCAGAAAGCTCAGGCCATGATCAGAAGCTTAGAATTTTCAGCCACCCCACCACCACCCTGAACCACCACCACCACCACCACTTCTCCAGAGAGGAGAGAGAGGCTGGAAATGGAGTTAACTGATCATGCCTACATGAGGAAACCTCCATAAAATCCCAATAGTACAGGGTTCGGAGAGCTTCCAGGTGGGCGAACACACCTACACCAGGAAGGTAACACACTCTACCCCCATGGGGACAGAAGCTCTGGCACTCGGGACCCTCTCAGACCTCGCCCTATGCATCTCTTCATCTGGCTATTCATCTGTATCCTTTACCATTATCCTTCAACAAATGGGTGAACCGAAGTGTTTCCCTGAGTTCTGTGAGCCACTCAGGCAAAGTAATCAAACCACACAGGAGGGGGTCGTAGGAACTTCCCATCTATAGCCAGTTGGTCAGTAGATACTTGTACATGGGCTTGTGACTATTGCTTGAAGTGTGTGTGTGTGTGGGGGGCAGTCTTGTAGGACTGAGCCCTTAACTTGTGGGATATGACACTATCTCCAGTTAACAATGTCAGAATTGAGTTAAATTGTAGGACACCTAACTGGTGTCACCGAGAATTGCTTGTTGTGGGGGGAACCTCCATTCGCCTGGTGACCACAAATGTCAGAGTAAAGTGTTCTGTGTTAAGCCTGTAAAAGCAAAGGAGAAACAAAGGAGAGAAAGATGTTTTCCCCAACTCAGGAGGTATGTAAAACTGAACTTTCCTAAACAACAGGGATGGGTAGAAATTTAAGTACTAATTACCTCATATTTCATAGCAGGAAGTCAATTTTTCTGTTAAATATATACAAAATTAAATACACTCCTTTTTGTGTAAAAAACAATAGCATGCAAGACACACCCTATTCTCTTGAAATTATTTCCATTTAGCTAGTTATGCATCTATCCATCCCTTTAACTAGGTATCTGAAAAGAAAGTGTTTAGAATAATGGCCACCAAAAGTTAACACTGATCATTTCTGAGAGGTGGGACATTGGGGAAATAGTTAATGGTGGTTAAGAATCTTTAGGAGGTATAATTATGAGTGATTTTGTTCTTCTTTTTTTTCCTACTTTCCTATATATTCTATATTTTGAAATGTGTCCATATACATTGAAAAAATTGAATGCCTCTGGTCATAAAGGATAAATAAAGGACAAAAGAAGAATGAGACTGAGAAAGGACTGCCACAGGGAGAACCAAGCTATTTAAAGGCAAGAGAGCAGGAACAGGGATTAGCAGGGAGAAAATGCAGACTGAGAAGTAGAGGCCTTTGAAACTAATAAGTGTTATTACATGTCACTAATAAATTTCATTAATAAATCCCATTCACTTTTTTTTTTTTTTTAATTCTCACCCGAGGACATGCTTAGAGAGAGGAAGGGAAAAAGAGAAACATTGATCGGTTGCCTTCCGGACACTCCCCAACTGGGGATCAAACCCGAAACCCAGGTATATGCCTGACCAGGAACTGAACTAGCAACCTCTTGGTGCACAGGAGGATGCTCAACCAAATGAGTCACTCCAGCCAGGCACTAATAAATCCCACTGAAATGATGGTAACTCCCAAATTCATACCCCCACCCCAGACCTTTCCATCGACTGCTGCACTCATATCCCATTACTTACTCAGCATCTCTACTCAATGTGTCCAAAACTAAAACCAAAAGCAAATTCTTAATCTTCTCCCTCCAATCACGCTTCTCTCTTAGCCTTCCTCACTTCACTAGATTCAAGTCAAAAACTTTGAAGTCATCCATCATTTCTTTCTCTCACACACTCACACACCCCTAATCCAATCTCAGCAAATCCCATTGGCTCTATTTCCATCAAAACATAGCCTCAATCCCACCACTTCCCACCGCCTTCCCTACTATTGGCCTGTCCTACCATATATTCCTAGAATGAATGACTACAGCAGCCCGTGAACAGGTTGCCTGCTCTCACTCTTGCCCCTGTATCTGTTCCCTAAACAGCAGCCAGAGTGATTTTTTTTTTAAATATATCTTTATTGATTTTAGAGAGAGTAAAGGAGCAGGAGAGAGAGTGATAGAAACATCAATGATGAGAGAGTCATTGATCGGCTGCCTAGCCTCCAACCCGGGCATGTGCCCTGACCGGGAATTGAACCCTAATCGCCTGGATCCTAGGTTGATGCTCAACTGCTGAGCCACGCCTGGCCGGGCCAGAGTGATCTTTTTAAAGCATACGTCAGATCATGGAATTCCTTTGCTCAAAACTTTCTACTGGCTCCCATGTTACTCAGAATAAAACCCAGTCTCTATGCCCTACAAGATCCTCTATGATCTTCTACGTGGGCCCCTGCCTCTGGCCCCTGGGCCTGCTTTTTCCTCCAGTCGTAAGTTTCATTTCCCTCCCTTCTTTCAGATCTCCGCTCCATTAATAACATCTACAGAGGGCTTCCCTGGCCTTTCCACTAAAATCACATGCCTACATCCTTTTCCTGTTTTATTTTTTAAATGTATCTTCATTGTTGAAAGTATCACAGGTGTCTTTTCCTGCTTTACTGAGAACAAGAAGTTGTTTTTCTCTGTTCATGGCTGTACCCAAGAGCTTAGAAAAGTATCTGACACAAAGCAGGGGTTCAATATTCGTTAAATGAATGAATTAATCAAAGTATTCTATTTTTCTCACAACAATGCAATCTTTCTTACTTTTGATTATCAGACTATTCTATACATTACTAGCATTCAGGCAATATTATTTGCTCTTAGTAAGCAATACATGGAAGTAATAATAAAGCCCAGGAGTCCAGATTAGTCAATTCCCCATGTGTGTGTTTGGGGAGGGTGTGTGCTAGGGAGGGAGGAATAGCCACCAGAATCAAACCCAGTCCCTGGCATGCGGAAGGAGTCCTGCTGCCCTACTTCAGTTACAACAGAAGGAAGCCTCAGAAATTAACATTGGCTTAACTGTACCTGTCCCCGTTGGGTCACCTCCCTGGATCATGAAGTCCTTGATGATTCTGTGGAATTTGGTGCCATTGTAGTAACCTCGACGGGCCAACTCAGCAAAGTTCTTACAGGTCTTTGGAGCATGCTTCCAGTACAGCTCCAGCACAATGATCCCCATGCTGCAGGAGGAAGGGGACGGTAGAGTTCCAGTCAAAAACAAGGTCACGGCAGATAGGGATGATATGGGACTGCGCCAGGACTCTTCATTGTCAAGCTTGTAAGTCATGAAATTGTGATAAACATCAGATTTCATGCTCAGCAAAGGGAAACAACACAAGACAAATAACATCAACACAGTCATCTCCTCTGAGCAAAACATGCATGGGCTTCTGGTACTTCTTTTAAGCAACATAACTGTGGACAATTAAAAATTTAGGGTCCAGGGCACCCTTCCATCCAGGGCACATTCTCATTCTCTCTCTCTCTCTCTCTCTCTCACACACACACACACACACACACACACACACACTCATTCACTGAAATGAAACTTTATTCAAGGACCTGCTGTACTACTCATATTCAACACAGATGAACAATTACTCTGTGCAAGGCACGGTTCTAGGTGCTTTTCCCTTCATGGAGCTTACATTCTGGTGGCTATTTTTTTAAATACAGGTAATAACTTTAGAATGGCAATCAGAAAGTACATATACAATTTTGAAATGTGCATACTTTTTGACAGCAATTTCAACTTCTAAGTATCTATTCTATAGAAAAAGTTACTAAAGTGCTTAAGGGTACAATATGTGCAAGGATGTTCATTCCAATATTTGTCATAACAAAAAACAAGAAGCAATTTGGATGCCCTTCAAAGAGGAAATTACTAAAATATGAGACATCTATACTATGAAAGGCTGCATATATTAGTGAGCAAAAGAAAAGCAAATTACAGGGAAAAAACATACAGTATGGTCATATGATCGTATTTTTGTTAAAAAAATAGAACATAAAAGAGAGATGTTTATGTGCACACAGAGAAAGGTCTGGAAGGTCATTCAACAAACTATTAAAAGTTTTTACACGAGGGGTGGTCTTCACTGCTTATTCTATACACTTCTACACTGCTTGGATTTAAATTTCAATTTATTTTGTAGTTTTAAAAACATGTTAACAGGTGAGTTCAGAAATTACTTTCAAGCTGGTGCCTGAAGTAGAATTTTGCCTTAAAAGTTGGGGAAAACGGCCTTGGAGCAAAAGCAGCACCTGAGAGAACTGTGCTCTGGTGGGAAGCAGCTTAGGCAAGAACAGAAAGAAGGCAGAGGGGTGATGGCTGGACCCTGGCTACTAACGGGGAACGGCAGATGTAGCAGAGAGGTAGGAAAACACCAGATAAAACAAATCACCTTGAATGTCAGACTAAAAGTTTTAATTTTATAGTGTTTTAACAGTAAGAAGTCACTTCAGGTAATCTGTCCTACTTCAGAAAGATCACTCTGAACGTTTTCCAAAGAGGCGATGGAATGAAGGAGACTAAGGAACCTAGCATGTGAGTGAGGCAGACACACCAGGCTCCAAGTGAGGTTCCCCTACTTACTAGCGGTGTGGCTTTGGTCAAGCCACTTAATATGTAAGTTCTGGCATTTCCCTGCCAAAACTGGAGAAGAGAAGGTGAATGCCTACATGATATGAGTTGCTAAGAGGATTAAACTAGATGTGATGCTTGCTATACACCTGGGGCACGACCAGCTGGTTGGTGCTCAATTATATTACATTTGACAGTGGGGGAAATGTGCTTCTTCCCGTGTCCCCCTAGCAATCTGTCTGTGCAACCGTAGAACTTACATGACAACGGTACGACCTCTCCCGTTAACATTTCTGTAGCTGTCTCCTCCACTATAATGTAAGCTCCTAAAGGCATGGCTGTGCGTTTCATCCACCCCTGGATCCTCAGAGGCAGATCCTACGTCCCTGGGCTGAATGCAAGGATGGATGGATGGATGAATGAACGGAGGAGTGGGAGGAGGGCAATCGGGCAGCTGTCGCCAAGGTCCCAGCGCGAGTCGGTGCGGAGCTCGGACGCCGGCGGCGACGGTCCACACGT